TCAATTTAAAGTTGGGTCCTGCTATGACAAAAACATAGGCATAGCTAAAGATGAAAAAAAGGCATTTGAGTGGTATTTGAAATCTGCTAAAAGTGGCAATTCGACAGGACAATTTAATGTAGGATTTTGTTATCAAAATGGCATAGGCACAGCGAAGGATGAAAAAAGAGCGTTTGTGTGGTATTTAAAGCTTGATAAAAAAGAGACATATGAGAGGTATTTGAAATCTGCTGAAGGGGGCAATTCAAATGAACAGTGCAGTCTTGGATCTTGTTATGAAAACGGCATAGGCACATCCGAGAATAAAAAAAAGGCATTTAAATGGTATTTGAAATCTGCCGAGGGCGGCAATTCGAAAGGACAATTTAAAGCTGGATTTTGCTATGACGAAGGCATAGGCACAAACAAGGATAAGGAAAAGGCATTTGAGTGGTATTTGAAATCTGCTGAAGGTGGCAACTCAAATGGTCAATTTAAAGTTGGGTCTTGCTATGACGATGGCATAGGCACAAACAAGAATGAAAAAAAGGCATTCGAAAGGTATCTAAAATCTGCTGAAAGTGGCAATTCGACAGGTCAATTTAATGTTGGATTATGTTATCAAAATGGCATAGGTACAGCTAAGAATGAAAAAGAAGCATTTGAGTGGTATTTGAAATCTGCTGAAGGTGGCAATTCGAAAGGACATTTAAAGCTGGATTCTGCTATGACGAAGGCATAGGCACAAACAAGAATGAAAAAAATGCATTCGAATGGTATCTAAAATCTGCTGAAAGTGGCAATTCGACAAGTCAATTTAATGTTGGATTATGTTATCAAAATGGCATAGGTACAGCTAAGAATGAAAAGGAAGCATTTGAGTGGTATTTAAAATCTGCTAAGAGCGGCAATTTAGATGGACAAAACAGTGTTGGATTTTGCTATCAAAAAGGTATAGGTATAATTATGGACAAAAAAAAAGCATTTAACTGGTATTTGAAATCTGCTAAGGGTGGTAATTTGGATGGACAAATCAATTTTGGATATTGTTATGATGAAGGAATAGGCACAGCAAGGAATGAAAAAAAGGCATTTGAGTGGTATTTGAGATCTGCTGAAGGCGACAATTCGAATGGACAAAACAATGTTGGCCTCTGTTATCAAAATGGCGTAGGTATAATTAAGAATGAGAAAAGGCATTTGAGTGGTATTTGAAGTCTGCTGAAGGTGGCAATTCAAATGGACAAGATAATCTTGGCCTCTGCTATCAAAATGGTATAGGCACAGCCAAAGATGAGAAAAAGGCATTTGAGTGGTATCTGAAATCTGCTGAAAGTGGCAATTCAAAAGGACAAATCAGACTTGGATACTGTTATCAAAATGGCATAGGCACAGTCAATGATGAAGAAAAGGCATTTAAGTGGTATTTTAAATCTGCTAAAGCAGGTAATTCCACTGCACGATATAACCTTGCATTGTGTTATCGGAATGGCACAGGTACTATTAAAAATGATGAAAAAGCATTTGAATGGTATTTAAAATCAGCAGAAAATGGTTACTACAGCGGACAATATGAAGTTGGATTATGTTATAGGAATGGCTTTGGAACGTCACCTAACCAACAAGAAGCTGTTGAATAGCTGAAAAAAGCGAAAAATAATAAATTTCAAACAACAGATGGTTATGAAAATATTGATAATTCTTTAAAAAAATTATTATCTGACAAGAATTTATTAATATCATGGATTGCGTTTAACGAATTAGAAATTAGAGGAAAAATTGGAAAAGGAGGGTTTGCAACTGTATATGCTGCTAATTGGAAGTACGTAAGAACAGATGGTAGTACTTTAAATAAAGCTGTTGCACTTAAATTATTTCATGGGTCAAAAAATAGCTGTGAAGAACTTGTAAAGGAGGTAATATTTGATGATGCTGTAAATCCGAATATATTAATATTCTGTTATTAATATTTATACTGTAATTTTAAAGTTAATAGCGTATTCAAACATTGGAACTAAGAATCCCACGTTTTTACAATGCTATGGTGTATCAAAAAATGAAGGCACAGATGAATATATATTAGTTATGCAATATGCGCCAATGGGATCTTTACGTAAGAATCTTTTATAAAGTTGCACAACTAAAATGGAAAAAAAAATTAGAATTATTATCTTATATTGCATCTGATCTTCAAATAATTCATTCGAATAATATTATTCATCGTGATTACATAGTGGCAATATTTCAAAATGATTTATATAACGCTTATATTGGGGATTTAGGATTTGCAACTTCAGTTAATAAAACATTAGACACAAAATCTAGGGGAATTTATGGAACCTTACCGTATTTAGCGTCAGAAATTTTGCACGGAAAGTCATTTACCAAAGCATCAGATATTTATTCCTTTGGAATGATTATGTGGGAAATTTCTTCAGGAAATATTGTATATTCTGAATATAAAGATAAATTAAAATTAATATTTGAAATTTATAATGGTCTGAGACCAACTATTATTAAAGGTACAGCACCATGCTATGCAAATCTTTTGAAGAAATGTTGGAATGAGGATCCAGAAAAACGACCATCTGTTCTAGAAATTTAACAGACTATTTTAGATTGGAGAAACAATGCAGAAGTTTTAACGGAATTTTTAAAATCTGATGAAGAAATGGTGATTAAAAATAATCATACCTTTAATAGTTTAGATGATACGATTTATACTAGCAAATTTATTAGTTATGTTGACCAACAATCCACGAATGTAAACGAAATTGCTTCTAAAAAAATTTGTTTTAATATTGAGTAAGTATTAATATTTTTATTTATATGATTATAAAAAATTTTAGTATGAGATATTTCGCATTTGATTAATTACTTTAAATCCTAAATATAAATAAAATATAAATTTTATAATGTTTTTAACAAAGTATCCTACTTCTATATTCCTTAATAGTCTTAAATTAGGTGTTTGATTTGTCTCAGTTTATTACATAAATAATAACAAATCCGTTAAAATTCATTAAAATCACGTAATGTTCGGTTAGTTGAGTTCTTTTGTATTCTATACTTTACAAAAATGTTATAAAAAACATGCAAATTTAAGAATAATTTATTAAGACATTTCGTAATTAACGTATTTCGAAAAAATAGATACTTTAAAAATGAATTTGCGATTTCGAATGTCAAGAATAAACTAAATAGAAATAACTGATGATTCATATTTGAAAGCCGCAAAGAAAAGACCTGGAATTCTTGATTTTCGGAAATTTCGCATTCAGATTTATCAAATTCTTATAAACTCGTTTCTGAAAATGAAATTTCGGGAAATCAACAACTCCAGGCTTTTGCATTGCGACATTCATTTCATTTGTGTATGTGGCTTAAAATGTAATTAATAATAAAGGTGATCATATAAATAAAAAGCATTCACGACTTTAAGGCTGTTCCCAATGAGTTTATCATACAAGTATATGCTATACACCAAAAATTTTTTTACCCCGATTTCTACTATTTTGAGAGCTGTGGTAAATTCTTCATCATACTAAATTCTAAGATTTGGTTATGACATAATTCCCCAAAAATTTGTTCCTTGTTACTTCATATTCCCAACAGTATATTTCATCTACAGCAAATTTTTTTGACAGAACATCTTTTTAATACTGTTATATAATATGACATTTCTTTGACACCCCTTTTCTTGACAAGGCATATTTTCGAAAAAACATATTTTCCCGATATAATATATATTCTTTTTTTCGACATACAAATAACTGACATGTTGTCAAATTAAATTAAGATAAACAAAAACTGTCAGTAAAATGGGGTTGCCGGGAAAAGTATTTAATAAAATTTAGTGCCGAGAAAAGTCAAATATGTCAAGTCAGAGAAATGTCATGTTAAAATATGTATGTCAGAGAAAGAAGCATGTAATATTGGGGAAACATTCTATAAACAAGAAATGCTATAGATAAAGTTTTCTGTCGGCAGTATGGTGTCGGGAAATGAGATGGCGGGTAACTAGCATTCGGAAAATTAAGCAACAACCTTTAAAAGTTAAACCTTATTAAATCTTAAAAATCGTAAAGATTGCAACATTTCTATGGTCACTCATTAAAAAATTCTTTAAGAGATTACAACCTACAATTCCTGATCTCCTAATGTAATAAAAACATAATAATAAAAAAATTGTTTGCATACAATTCCTTTTAGAGACCTAAAAAATAAAGCCAATGCCAGTTTTCTTTGTACGATATATTAGGCCGTTTAAAGCTAAACAAGCAAATCACAGCACAGGGAAATCTCCAATAAATATATGGTTAAAGTAATCAAATACTTTGTAGCAGAATAGATAAACATGTTTGGTTAAATTTTCCTCCTCCTGCGCCTAAGCAAAAATATTGACATTAAGCAATTAATTTACTTTGAACAGCCTTAGCTATAATAGTGTAATATTTTAGAGTTTCTTTTTTAGAATTCTATCAGGAACAGTATGTTGATTAACTCTATCAGAACAGCAATTTCAGTAAATTTTAGATTTATCAATTTGATATAAAGCATACCATTGTATTTAATATAAGAAATTAAAAAGTTATTTATACAAAATTCAACATAAAAATAATTAAAAAGATATTTTTAACTTGTGCCAGTGGTTAAGAATAAACAGTATGCTATATCTCGAAAATGTACTAAGCAAATATAATCGGGTTCTAAGTAAAAATGTTCAGACCCCTGAAAACCTCGCGAGAACTAGACTGGGACCTTATATCCAATCTACATTATGTTATATAAAAAAACTATTTTATATATCTTAAAGCTGCACTCTAACCCTAAATTTTAATGGGGGTGGTTATTTTTAACCAATGGCATAAGGAATAATAATATTAATTAAAAATTAGACATAACTTAAAAAAACTATGTTTTATACTTATTTACATATAAATTGTTTCTGGCAAATTATTGACGACACGAATAACGTTACTGGTCGGATCTAAGTAATCGATTTCTGCGCAGGTTGTCAGTTACGCAAATTCTTGTACGTCAGATGTAGCAGTGCTATTTTTTTGCTTATGTTCTGACTTTTCGCAATCTTCTTGTTTATGTTTCAACTTCAAATAAAGATCATTCATTGAATATGATAGAAATGATAAGAAAAGATAGGTCTTAATCCATAAAACGCTGGGTGCAACAATTGCGCAAAATATCAATTCCGAACAAAAGCTCACTATCGACGTTGCTCTTTCGAGCTGTTCTCTTTTTATTGCATTACCAACCCAATCTTTAAGGCCTTTAAAATCTAGACCTTTATTAATCCATATTCTTTCCTGCTCATCTGGAGAACCAACGTGCCTAAAAATATGTATATATAGTAACATCCCAGCGACAAAAGATACGCTAATAGGTACTAACACAAATAAATATGTTGACATATCAACATATTGATCGCCATTTCGATTTGCCGCTAAAATAAGAAAGACTAAATCTACAGTAAAGATTGATAAACTCACAATAATTGAAGGAAAAACTAATGCTCTTTCAGTCTTGTGAGTTTTTTTAGAATCATTAGAAGTGTTAAAATGATTATTTAAATAAAATAAACCAAGTAAACAACATGAAATACAAGTAGTACTAAAAGTAGTGCAAACTAAAACTATATTCTTTGCAATAAAGTACATAATAAAAAATTCATCATTAAAAAAATAGTAAGATTGAATACAGAACCAAATTTGCAAAGGAAACAATACTATAGTGGGAGCTAATTTTAAATATTTAAGTATGTGTCTTAACTCTCTTCTTTCACTAGCATTAATAAATTTTTCACTATCAATATCAATGGTTAAGACCACTGGAATAATAACGAGAACCATTAGATCATAAGTTGCTTCAATAATTGGATTAGATGCACCAATATTTTCCTTAAGTGCATTGACTGAGCCGAAGAACACAAAGATAATTGCCAAAAGATATTTAAAATGGCAAATCAGTTTTCCTCTTTTTGACATTTTGATGCACTTTAACTACAGTCACGAATTGGTATTTGCATATAATACGAATTGTATCCACACCTCAACTTTCTTAAATACTGTATGTAATCACACAATCATGTGGCTTGCAACACCATGTGTCTATCTTTATCAATCTTATCATTTTTAGGATCTCCCACACACGAATAAAATTAAACTCTATTTCATTAAAAAATAACTTAATTTACCCTTCTCAATAACAACTATTCATTTATAATAAAGAAACAAATTCAAGTTTCTGTAATACACACATGAATAATTGTTATTACAAACAATATGCAGTTATGTTACTACGCGATCAATAATTTATATAAAATTGGGTTGATTGAATTATTAAAGTTAACATTAGGTATCTCCGGTAGATCTACGTATTAATACCCAAATATAGTTGTCAATATTGAAGTATTAATTACTAGTTTTAGTAATTTTCATTAAAAATAGTTATTACGTACGATTATAAAAGGCAGAATGGAAAATCGTTTTTACAAAATTCCAAATGGAGTAGCAATGTCTGAGAAATTTTAGAATATCCGTTAAATCACGGTTTCTCGATATATTTGTGGCGGTTAAATGATTTTCTGAAAATGTCCATAGCGCACACACTAAAAATTGTTCAAAAAAAAATAAATCAAAAGACCACCTTCTGTTCCTGATTAAAAATGTTCATTGTGAAATTTTACTAATAAAGTCAAGCTGTTTTAACCTATAATTGTTAGGCAAAACTTAGAGGTTTCACGTTGAAGCCTAGTTTCAATTTAATCAAAAAAATTTTTAAAGAAATAAAAAGCTGCTAAACGAAAGCGAGATGCGATGAAGCTTATAAAATACTCCAAAACAAAAATAAAAGTAAGAATATTTATATCAAAAATTTATATAAACTAGCTGTTCTGGAAATTTTTATCCGTTACACAGTAAGACTCGATATAAAAATTAATCAATGTTTACTTACATGATTAAGCCTGATAGTTTATGTTAAACGGATAAATGATTAAGCGTTTAAAAAAAATTTCAATTAAAAAAGATGAGATTGAAAATGTTAAGAAACCATGGAATATGAATGCTTTTGCTGCGATAAAATTTTAAAGTCTTTTATAGACCTTGCTTATGATCACATAAAGTTATCCATATCTAATTTTTCCTAGCATGGTCTATGTTACTTTTTAGAGTTCAAAGGCGATTCTTATGCAAATTTAGTTTTTTTTTTTTTTTTTGATACATTATTTTATTGTATTTTGCTTATTATTTATTTTTTTAAAAAAATAAATTTATTGAATTTTCCTGATCATGTCATATTATGGCTGAGTTTTTTGTTGGCTAATACGGGTGGTAATGATTATTAATTTTCAAGTAATCGAACGACGAACGACACATAGTGTAAACTAATCAAGAGTCTGTCGCGCATTTCTTTCTTGGAGAATATAATACTGATTTGGGTATGCCTGGATATGATTAAATTTGTTTATACTCACCACCCTACCTGTAAACTATGCAAAATTTACCTATACGTCAACAACATGTCATTTACTTTCAGGAATTTAGTCAATCAAGTCTTCAGAATGAACAGCAGATAAATTTTATTGTATCATAAATTTCTGTTAAATTGACCTTTTAAAATCTTGTCATGCTCATTTCATTCGCTGATTGATTCATTTGAGATCTTATTTAAAAAGCTTCAATATTGAATTGCTTCGTAATATTATGTTTTTTTTCGTTTTTTTTTTTTTTTATTGACTTTAGTAGAGATGTGGTAGAAACTGTTACGATATAAGCTTTAGCTAGTACTAAGATATTTCAAGTACACTCTAATATATTAAGATATGATTTTTGTATTTTCGTAATGAATCAACAAATATTAGCAAAGACAAAAACAACATAAAAACGATCAATTTAAAATATGTTTCTATATAACAATTTGATTATATTATTATTTGATTAATCTCTTTATTTAAATGCTTAAATTAAGATATTACGGATAAGTTGTATTTTGAATTTAGGGATTTAAATGAAGGACCAATCTGCGAATTTATTAAGATAGTGGTTATTTAACTTATAAATTATATCTGATAGAACTAATTTAAATTACCAAATTTACAAAATTAATAAAGGTATACGTGTATTTACAGAGGAGTGGTTTTATTAGAAAAAAATTAAAGAACACCTTTTATTTTTGGATCATCCTTGTTGCTTCCAAGATTCCTCTGAATGAATCAGTGAAACATCTTGAAACACTATTGACAAAAAAAAAATAACACTGGCTGCGTTTAAATTTTATACGTATATATCATAAAAGCTTCCAAAATGAGAACTTCAAATATTACAAAAATGGAGCAATGAAATTATTGCAAAGCATCCTGATAAGCCTTTGAATCAGAAAACTTCATCTCTCTTCCAGAAAATGTACTAATTTCACTTATTAAGCAAAATTAATTACAGAAAAACATTAAATGGGAAATTGCTCAAAGCGCGGATTTACCATCAGATCCTAAAGATTGGTCTCATGGGACTTTCTAGCTTTAAATACAACTTTACAGAATTGTTTAGCTTTTATTTACTATTTCCAAATATCAAATGATAATAATATTGACAAAGTGAAACCATATAAGAATATTCTTGAAGAGAATCTTTGGAATGATATACTCATTACTCCAAAGAGACAAATATTACCAACAATCTTCCGCCCCGCAAGATTTTAATACCAATATTCATCTAGAAGAACCGAAAACATTTCCTTCAAAAGTTATCAGTGATGACTATGCAGCAAAATTGCTTCATGGATTGTTAGAAAACTGAAGATTCTGTAACAAATAATACATATAAATTAAACAGCCTCTTTGTGGAACGAGAGATAGTTTACTGCACAATCATTTGGAATTTATGTGACAAGAAAACAAATACAAATACTGTTGTGGTAATGATGCTGATGAAATTCTTGGTGGACATAATCCAATTAAATGGGTTAAAATGATTGGTGAATTCATGAGTTGTATGATAGTTTTATTTTTTTCATTGAAAAATGGCATTGTTCAATCTTCCATTTTAAATCATGTAAAACAACCAAAAATATGCAAACTTATTATAGACCGACATTTGGTAAAGGTTATGGTATCCATATGGGAAATAATTCAAGCAAATAACTTATTGCTATTGTTATATGAAAAGCTATTAGAAACATAGATGATAACTTTACTATGGAGAAATATGAAATATTTCAAATTCAGAAAGAATAGATGTTTAACAAGGAGCTTATTCAGTGTATATTTGATATACTTCTGATTATAACTATATATTTGTTAGATTCCTTTCAAATTTCCGTTAATTAGAGAGAATTAACATATGTTGTAAATAAAGTACGTTATATTCTAATCGACATTTTTTTATCACTAGGAAAACGGAACCATTTGGTTCCGGAGCGCCGCTTCATATTCGCAAACATTTCAAAGTCTCTCTGATACGTAACCATTAATTTACAAAACATCAATAAGAAAATTTTTAATGCAAAGACATAGCTATTATATATTTATCTACATGCTCGATGAATCGTAAATTTTTTAACTTCTGTAATATCAGCTCTTAGAAATTAATAAGGTTAATCATGATGATTAGTTACGTAAAGTGTTGTTTTTTCATATATTAGATCACAAAAGTAATCCAGCTATAAGAAAATATGCAAAGAAATTTTAATTTTAATAATTATGCTCAATTATGAAGGTTTTTAAAAGCTCTCTTTCATTCTGAATCACGTCGTATTTATTTTGTTCTCTTATATTAGCGGCTCCAATGTTCATTTTAAAGAACATTAATTTAAGATGAAACTTTAGCAACAAATACTAACTTTATTTATACTCAGATTATTAACACAACTTTATTTTATTTTGAGGATATTGATATGGTTAAAGTTTTACCCACAAAATCCCAAAAGACAGATTCACGAAGGTTTCAATACCAACAAGTTAGCCTGTATTAGTTATAATGCAGGCCAATTTAGTCATTATTATGTTCTTTTAGAAAAATTATTTTGGGATTTTATGGTAGAATCATAGTTAAATTACTTTATTCTATTGAATCATCAGTTGGTTTTATTAAAGTGCTTTTTTTTTTTATCAAAAATAGATCATTAACATTACCATTATGCTTGGCTTATTCAACTCTATTTATTAAGTGAATTTTATTAGAATAAATATACAATTAGTATCTCTACTTATGTATAATATTTGATACTTAAAACCTTGACTTATTTTTATCAATTATCACAATCACTCATTGTGATAACTGCCAATTTTGTATTTTAATTTTTTTTTTTTTTATTCATTTTTTTATTTTCTTTAATTTTAATTTTCTTTTTTAATTTTTTACTTTTTAATTTTTTTTTTCTTTTTTAATTTATTTTTTTATGTTTTTTATTTTATTTTTTTATTTTGTTCTTTTTTTTTTTTATTTTATTCTTTATTTTTTTTTTTATTTTATTCTTTTTTTATTTTTTTATTTTACTTTAATTTTTTTTTTTTTAAAGTAAGGTCTTGCTTATATCTTTATTGAGTAATTTATATAAGTAGTTATATAAATAAAAACTTAATTTGTATATTAAAATATAAATATAAATTATATGCAAGATTAAAAGTTCAGACTAAAAGCTTAAACAAACTAGTTATTTGCAATCTAAATCTACTAGTGTGGTCAAAGCTTACCTATATTTGAATAGTTAAAATATAGTTAATAGAAGTACTAAATTGGATCTATATAGTGAACCAAATATTAAATTTTTAATATGCTAGCCTAGCAAGAGAGCAGATATCTAAATTAGAATAAAGTTGGTCTGGTATATTGTATAAGCAGTTATAAATAAGCAATTTTCTAGTTCTGGTATATTAATAAAAAGAAGATAGTTAAGGAACTTGTCTATAAGAAAAGCTAGAAGAAATATGATATACTTTTTTCTATATAGAGAAGTTAATATAGTATGTTTTTCATATTTGATTATA